CACTGTCTGTCCAGAAAGCACAGGGGCCCTGTAGCTTAAACCTTTCTCAATAAAAAGAAGCCCTTCCGCCCTGCCTGGCCTGCCCAGTCCTCCCCTGGCTCCGTCTGTAGCCTTGCTGGGGAGCGCGCCTGGCGGGCCTGTGCCTCCTCTCCCCTGACCAGTACTGGGGCGGGTAGGGGATTCCATGTGCTCACTGCCACCCTGGTCCGGGACAGGGAGACCCGCAGGGCGTGTGGTGGTGCAGTCTCAGGGCCCAGGTTCAGGGTGGGCAGGTGGGTGCGGGGTTCCTGCCCTCACCTTCCGGGAGCTCATCACTGGCTCAGGTGAGTGTGACTGCCCTTGGGTTCCCCCGCATCAGGACAACCTGGGGCATGACCCAGGGCATCTGGCGTGTCTACACCAGAGGGAGTGGCGTGGGGGTGCAGCCGGTGTGGTGCACATGTCCTGGTGACCAGGCATCCTTGGTGACTCGGTTCTCAAGCACCAAGAATCCCCCTGGCCCCGGGTGGGGATTCACTCAGACCTGCTCGTCAGGGGGCCACATCCTCACCTCAGCGTGGGACGCCTGGTCGGGCTGCCCGGCCCGCCCGCCCTGACCCACTCCTGTCCTCCTGCAGGACGCCAGCTTGAGGGGCAGCGGCGGCCGGGAGCGCCTCATTGTGGAGCCCCCTCTGCCCCAGGAGAAGGCTGGCGGCCCGGCCCTCCCCTCCCACCTACTCAGCACCCCCTACCCCTTCGGCCTGTCCCCCAGCTCCGTCATGCAGGATTCCCGCTTCCCACCGCTCAAGTAAGTGTGTGGGGTGGGAGCGGGCGGGGGCTGGCGTCCACTATCCCGGGGCGGAGTGCTGGCTCCCCACCCCTGCTCAGACCCTGTCCTTGGTGCTGGGGCAGCAGCAGGCCTGTCCAGGGACGCCCTTCCGTCCCCATGGAGCTGGGAGGCTGTGGCCTCCAGGCTGCAGTCGCTCCGTTCATGTCCCCCGCAGCCTGCAGCGGCCGGTGCAGCATGTGGTACCCCCCAGCACCGTGACTGAGGACTACCTGAGGAGCTTCCGGCCCTACCACACCCCCGAGGACCTCCGACTGTCCTCC